CGATCAAAATTTAGAGTCCAAAGTTCATGATTCTTTATCTGAATGGGTAGCTTACATCTATCCAGTCTAAGTTTAGAGCGCACAAATAAGTATATTGAGATGTTTGACATTTCGGTGAGTGTTAGTGATGAAACAAGAAAAAAAGAAATAGGGAAACGATAATCGTGAGTCAAGAGAAAACTGCCTGACCACAAACGTCGGTCTGGGGAATAATGTATATGAGGTGTATTCACTCTATTTCGTTTAAAGTGGTAAAGGCATTGATAATTGAATTTTCCCAAAATGATATGAGTAGATCCTACGTCTCCATTGAATTTCACATATACTGCTTTTTCGAAAGGTATTCTCATCCAGAGTGGACTGCATTTTCGACCTCGAATAGGTCTCATCAGCACCCCCAGCGGGACTCAAGCCACCTTATCACCTAAACGAAATAGGGTGAATACATCTCAAACCAACTGGTAGCCACGAAAACCTACATATAGAAAAAAAACCGGTCACAATGTGCCTATCTCCAAGAGAGTTTAAATTATGTTTGGGGTGTTGATTAGACCACAATGCGGTTGGAATGGTGCTCGAATGGGAATAAAAACGTATTTATTGGAGAATTTATTCCTCTTCCTCTGATTCTAGCCCTTGGTCACAATTCGGCGAAGGGTTCTTGCATGATTTCACTTCCTTATTTCAAGTGCTGTCTGATTCTTAGCTTATAAGTCCGAAAGTGCTCTTGTCTATATCAAGAAAACCTTTCAAGCTGGTATTTCACTCCCAAACTTGGCTATATACCACTTTCGACTTTAAGCTTACTACTATGAAAGTTATGGCTCAGATGGGACTCAAGATAAACAATGAAAGATAAATGTGGAATGAATATAGGGTGGGAATTAACAAAGCTTTGGCGGCCTACCTTTGCCGCATTTATGAGACTCGAGGTGGCGTCTGCCAATTGCTTTGCTGCCGCCAAAAGACGAGCTTGTCGGTCCGCTTCGCCAGCTGCACTAGCCGCTTCAGCCTGTGTTTTGACTTCAGAGATCATCTGGGCAGTTGCCTGTGCCAGACGACGAGCAGCAGCTACCAGGCACTGAGTGTCCGTCTCCGCTTGAAGGCTCTCATAGGCGGCCTGGAAGGTGTCCAGACTGTCACCTTGGAAGGCCTACGAGGATAGTTGAAAGAAAAGAAAGACAAATAAACTAGAGATCTGAAATGTGACAGTGAGTGTATCGGGAATATTGTGGAAAGTAGACCATTTTAACGGCCAATACGTCATACCTTTCTACGCATGTCCCTAAAAAAGATGGAATTTAAGAGAGCTTCGAATAAGTTGACGATGGCTTTGTGAATAAAAGCACCAATGCCGATAAAACTGTGGACAACAAATCTCGAGGTTTAAGCAGGATGAATTGTATTAAATACATGATCAAAGTCCATCTTCTAAAATACGAATTTAAAAAGTAATTCAGATACAGCCTAGTTCCAAAAAACAAGGTAAAATTGCTTAGAAGAATGTGAAAGCAGATGATTGAGCGACCAATCAGAT